TCCCCAAAGCCCCAGTAGATAGTTGTACATCGTAGTTGCACATCCTTCTAGTTGCTGTATGTGGGACGCCGCCTCAGCATGGCCGGAGAAGCGGTGTGTTGGTGCACGCCCGGGATCCAAACCCCGGCCGCCAGTAGCGGAGCGTGCGCACTTAACCGCTAAGCCACGGGGCCGGCCTCCAAACACTCTTAAACTACTAAACCAAAGCTAGCAGTCATTCACCTCCAGATTTTTCATTATGAAACAAAACTTAAAATTAATCTTTATTAGTTTGAGTAATTGTAATTGGGTTTTCTTTTACTTGTAGCCAATTTCTAACCAATAGAGAGAGACAAAGCGTAATTCCAGAAAGCATCAGAAGCATACTTTCTTTCCATAATTGGGCATCAGCCAAAGATTATTTGTTATGGACTATGATTTATAAGCCTTTTCTTGCCAGATGTGGTAAATGTGTGTTGAGAGGAAGGAAGATACTGCAGACAAGAGCAGCCATCAGAACAAAGAGATAGAGGAAGAGGCAAGACATATGTATGTGTACAGAATATAATAACTAGAATCATTAGACTGAGGCACAGGAAGAGACAAATTTGGCCAGATAAGGCAGGAGAGCATTACAGAGGAGTTGGAGTGTCAGAGTGAAGTTTATGTTTAGTGTGACACATAATTTGGAGCCATTATTGGTTCATCCAGTGAATCAGTCATTTATTTGGTGAAAGCCAGGTCTATGGTAGGTTCCAAGAATACAAAAATAAACATATCTTGTTTCTGCCTTCAAGGGGTTACAGTTTAATAGAGGTTGACTGTATAAGGTGTCAATCTGGGAAACAGAAACCATTCCAGGTACCTTGACACAAAGGCGTATAATACAGGGAAATGGATATTTACAAAACCCCTAGACAGGATAGAAGGGCTGAAAGCAGGGGCCTGCCAATGGACAATTGAATTGAGCCTCACACCATGACGCTGCGGAACAGAGGGCAGCAGTCTGCTGATGCCACTGCCTCCACTGCCTCCAGTTACCTGCGAGGATGGTTTCCATATCCAGGAGTGCTGAGGCCAGCCCTTGCCTCTACATACTCACATCCCATGGCCTGCATGGTAGCAGCAAAACAGAAAAAACCAAACAATCTCACATCCAGAGCCTCGCTGGTCAAGTGTGTAAGTATAGTTTCTAATTTTCCAACCTCTCTACCTGAAGAGATTAGGGAAAGGGGTCATGGAGACGAAGGGAGACAATATACGGTTTCTACAACATTGATGGACTTTTAAGGCACCAATTAGTGCATTACGGTGTTACAGGTTCTCTGAGAGAAGTCCAGACTCCATGGAGGGAAGTGGGTTAGAAAAGATTTCAAGGAAGCGATGACACTTGAACAGTGCCTTGAAAGATGAGCTTATGTTTGTTAGGTGAACAGAATTGGGACTGTCATTCTAGGCAGAGTGCTCAGTTGAAAAAAGGGAAAGTGTGAGTGCATGGACATTCAGCAAGTAACTCATCATGTTTAGAGTGTGGGGTGCAAAGTGGGGCAGACAGGAATGGGGTGCAAATTTAGAGAGGACTGCAAAGGAAGTGAAAGTCAGATCATGTTGGGCCTTGAATGCTGTGCTGAAAAATTTGGAAAGTATCCTGTAGGGAGATGGAAATCAGAGTCAGGCCTTAAGCAGTGGAGTGTGTGAATGAGTTTATGCTTCTTAAGGATCACTCTGAATACATGTGAATACTGGAGTGGGGAAGTTCAAGACTAGAAGCAGAAAGGCCAGTGAGAAGAGTGTTGTAATAGAAGGTCAAGAAAAGACTCTTGA